CCGGAAATTCCGGCTACTTGGAAGGCTGAGGCGGAAGGATCGCCGGAGCCCAGCAGGTCGAGGCTGCGGTGGCCGGGAGCGGCCACTGCACTCCAGTCTGAGCGACCGAGTGAGACTCCAACTCAAAAAAAAAAAAAAAATTGTCTTGGGGATGTCTCTTAGCCTGACCTAGAAAAAGGCAAAGTTTTCCCTCTGATACCGTGGTTGTCTTTAAAAGCAGCTAGGAAAATGTTTCTGGTAACTGCAGTGTTACGGAAACTTTTCATTCATATGCAAATAAGTCACAAGAGCAATCACAGAGTTAAGCTATGAAACCCGAGTGCCAGAAAAGGGCCCTAGAACTGGAGTGGACAATCCTCAGGCTGTTAATATTACTGAAACAAAATAGCCAAATAGTCTGGACAAATATGTTGGTGATTTATAAAGTTGGATCAGGTCAATCAGCAGATCCCAGAGTTAGGAATATTTTATTCTATAATCAGGAAAAATATATCCAAAGACCATTGCTTCTGTTATAGGGGCCAAGGTGTCCCAGTTGAGAGCTAGTAGCAGATAGGATATGAAATGACCTTAATCAGCTGTTGTTCTCCCCAGAGAACTACAGCACACCAGGATGAGCCATGTCCAGGGGAATTGGACTCTGGAAAGGAGAAGATGGAATGTGACTGTGAGATTAATCGACAATCCAAGAAGAATCTGAAGCTGGCTCAGGGATTTCTGGAGCACTTAAGTTCTTCCTGAGTCTGAAATGAATCCTGGGGAAAGCCACTGCGATTTCTCGAAGTAATACATGGTGAGAGCAAACACATCTGGGGCTTATTACTGAGGCACCCAGGACTTACTATTCTAACGGATTGTCAAATTCTTACCTCTGCATCATTTGCTTTATGGAGCTTTTCTCTTTCCTGGCATATATTAAAAACATAAACAGCTGAGGACAACCAGGCATCTACTTTTCTATGAAAGCAAATGGGAAATCAGAATGGGGCTTTATAGAAATACCACCTGTGGCATGGGAAAAACATTTACTTTGCAACAATGTGAATGATGATCTCAGAGGGTTCTGAGAATCAAAAACAGGGTCTCACTTCATCTTTACCAGCATGGGAGGCAGGAGATGAGAGGCAGATGTTCAGAAAACACTAGATTCCTGAAAAAGACCAGTGAGGGTTTTGTATTCAGAGATGTGGTTCTGTTATTCTCCTGCTGAAAGGGGGAAAACAACATGGGAACCTGTTTTCCTCTTTTTCTTTAATGGCTCAACCCAACCCCGGATCTGCACTACACACAAGCCAAAATAAGAAGGAAATGTTTTTATATGACAACCTTTTTCTGGAAGTTCAAAGTGCCTTATTCATGTTAGTTCATGATGCCCATCCCTAACCCTAGGTGTCAAGTGGACAAATCTCTTTAGATTGTGGATAGGAGGATATAAGGTTATCATTCAACCTGAATAGAAAAAATGCTAACTTGTATCAATGCTCAGAAATCCTTCAATACCCCCATACCACCATCATCCTGTGAATTACGACCTTCATGGTTCAGTGGGTCTCTGTAGCCACCTCCCACCTGCTGAACCTGCACTCATTTGAAAAGCAAATGCAGTGATGTCAGTCCTCAGCTTAAACTCTTCAATGACTTCTCACTACACTTAGGACACAGATCAAAACTTCAAGCATGCTTATGAGGCCTGTTAGTGTTGGCTCTACCACCCTCACTGGTTACCTCTCCATTCATGCTCCCTTCCCTCTGCCACACATGTATTGGCCTTATGCCATCCTTCATGCTTTATGCTCCCTCCTGCCAGAAGTCCTCTGGTTATGCTCTTCACTCTGAAGTCTCTTTAATGTGCTCTTTTGCTAGTCAACCCCTACTCATCTACCATGCTCATCATTTCTTCAGGAAAGCTTTTCTCCTTGTGAAGGGCAGAGAGTAATCTTTGCGAATAGAACCATATCTACAACACATACACAATCTCAAAATCACAGAAAGGTGCACATAGGAATTTCTTCTGCTTTATGAAAATCTCTCTCCTTGCCTGTATCTTTATACTGTCCCCAAACACTGCACCTCCTTCACCTCTCAGAATCATAAACAGCAACAACAACAACAATAACAACAACAAAAACAGATGAAACTTTACCTATTTTCATGTCCTTGCAGCTGAAGGGGTTGAGGAGGAGCTGGCTGGGCAACAGGGCTGTTGGGGGTGGCGGGGCTTGGCTGGGCCAGAGGACTCTGCTGGGCCAGGGGGCTCTGCTGCTGGGCCATGGGACTCTGCTTCTCTGAGCCAGGTGCCGAGGCGGGGCTGTTGAGTTCTGTGGTGGGAAACAAAGGCAAAGGCAGCCAGGTTAGCGTTTGATGAGGGGCAAGAGGTGACCAGAAGTGGCAACTCTTTGCCTCAGATGACTCAGACTCTGGTTATTATCTCATTCTGTTAGGTTTTTAGACAGTAGGTTCCACTTACCAAGTTTCAATACTACTCCTGGAATTAGTATTCTCTCATTAATTATCAAAGCTGAACAATGTTATGAACAGAGTGTCTTGTCCTTTTTTCAGAAGAAAAGATTTTTTTTCAAAAAACCCCTATAAAAACTACAGAAAATAGTTAAAAGGGGTAAATTCTAAAAACATTCTATTTTCCCAGCATTGCTTGCTGAGAGAAAATGGTTTAGCCACTACTTTTTGGTTGTAATGAAAAGTCTGAACAGGCTTCTAAAGTTATGGATAAGGAAGTAACCATTAAAAAGAAGATGGTTTTTATAATCCTTCCCCATCCTTTGTCAGTCTTATTGTCCCACAGCCCTCTGGACTCTCCAGTTTTCCAAAGAGAAAAAAGAACACTGGACATTCAAAAAGCGTTTCTTAAAAAACAAACAAACAACAAAACCAAAAAATGAAAAACAAAAAAACCAAACTGCTTCTGGACTTTTTTTCGAATAACATCAAATTTTCAACTGAAATTATCTCTGTATTTTAGAATAAGGGCAGCGCAGACGTATTTCAGACTGAGAAAACTGAGAAACAGATTTTCGGTAAGTAGTCTTGCTTACTTCAATTTCCATTAATTAGTTTATACATATTGATGTCTGCAGATAATAGATTAAAAAAAACCAAAACAAGGCCATTTTCTTTTCTCTCTCTCTTTTTTTGGTTGGGTGACAAAAAAAGAAGTGATCTATTAGCATTCTCTTATAAACTCTTTTTCCTCTTTCTTTTCTCACAGTCCACATCTTTTAATTTCGTCTCTGTTTATATCAGGGTTTCTCAACCTCAGCACTGTTGACATTTTGAGCCAGATAATTCTTTGATATTGTGGGCTATCCTGTGCATTATAGAATGTTTAGCAGTATCCCTGGCTTCTATCCAGTAGATGCCATTAACACGCCTGTCCCAATCATGACAATCAAAAATGTCTCCAGACATTGCCAAATGTCCCTTGGGGGGAACAAAACCATTCCAATTGGGAACCACTGTTTTTCATTTAAAGTCAGGTGGCTGTTCAGCCATTTGGTCTTATATGGGTAATCCTAAAATGGAACTGGGGACTGAGTAAAACAGAAGGTCCCACTCTGTGTGGGACACTGTGGTTCACTCATCAGTGAACTCCAGAGACTGAATTCTTTAATATCATTGATGAGTCAGCAGAAATAAACTAGTAATGAAGTCATGGCATCTGGAAATGGTGAATTTATGGCAAATTGATATGCAGAACTCCATGGCCCCATAAGGCATGACTATGAGTTGTGATGTTCACTCCTCTATAAGCCTCAGGGGGGAGTCCTTGTATAGAATAATTCAATGGGCTAAGTGGGAAATTTAAATTCGTATCAGATGCGACGTTTTCTAAATGAGCTCTCTTTATACCGCAAAACTTCAAGCTTTATAAAATTAATCTGACTTTGAGGAATCCTCTAGAGATTAACTATTAATATAAATAAGTTTGTTCTCCCCCAGATCTGTAACTCTATCATCTCTGTTGAATGAGTTTTGGCTTAAAATAACCATAAAAACAGGATTCCTAGGGCCACGGGGCATGATTGAACAACTCAGTATCTTGGGATTCATGCTATCTGGCCTGGATTGCCACATAGCTTGATCTCTGAATGAAATGGTAGTGAGTGAATAGGATATGGGTTACAATTGAGTGTGAGCTTTTGCAAAAGGGGAAATAACAGTCAACCCCTAACACTCTGACACCACATTGATAGCAGCCAAGTGAACTCTACGATCCTGGCAGTCAGGCTTAGAATAGCCCAGTGAGGTTGTCTGTATGTTGACTGCCTCTCTACAAAGCTGTCTCAGGCACTCACCCTCCTGAGGAATGATGCGAAGGGTGACACTAAGACCTGCGTCCTTGATGAGCTTCACAATGTCAGCGTGAGGCATGTTGATGATAGACTGACCATTCACTGCCAAGATCCGATCTCCCACTTTGAGTTTTGCACAGCGATCTGCAGGACTCCCATCAATGATGCGTCCAATTTTATGGGGCACAGCTAAAAAAGAAAACCCAACAGAAATAATTATCAGGGGCATCACTAATACATGTCTTTCAGTCCTAGCCCCAAAGGAAATATTGCAATGTCAGAGTTCCTTCTTTAGTAAGTATATTTGCCTTTTGAAAGCACTGTCATTTCTGTCAAATGGGGTCCTATGCATACTACTGAGACTAGAGTTTCTAAATGCAAGTCCTTTGATAGACCAATTCAAAACACACAGGTCTTGAATGCCAGTTCCAACTTCCATAAGGCCGTGTCCTGCATTTTCTAAGGTTCTTATGGTTTAAGGTTTTACATTTAAGTCTCTGATCCATTTAGAGTTAATTTTTGTGTATGGGGATAGATAGGGGTCTTGTTTGAATCTTGTGCATGTGATCAGCCAGTTTTCCCAGCATTTTACTGAATAGGTTCTCCTCTCCCCAGTGGTGGGTGGTGGAGGCTTTGTTGAAGATGATTTGGCTGAGAAATTGAGGTTTTGCTTCTGGAATCTCAATTCTATTCCATTGGTCTATATGCCTGTTCTTGTACCAATATCAGGTTGTTTCGATTATTGTAACTTTATAGTAAAGTTTAAAGTCTGGTAGTGAGAAAAACCCGAAATGCATGGGCCATAAGAGATAAGATAGACAAGTGGGACCTCATTAAACTGACAAGCTTCTGCAAAGCCAAAGAAACCATCAAGAGAGCAGAGAGACAGCCCACAGACTGAGAAAAAGTGTTTGCCAACTCCATGTCTGACAAAGGCCTAACATCTAGGATCTACAAAGAACTCAAATGGGCCGAAAAGAAAAAAAATAAACAACAACCCCATTACAAAGTGGGCAAAAGTTATGAACAGACACTTCTCAAAAAGACATATGAGTGGCCAACAGATACATGAAGAAATGTTCAACCTCACTAGTCATCAAGGAGATGCAAATTAAAACTACACTGAGATACCACCTAACTCCAGTCAGAATGGCCATCATCAATAACTCAAAAAATAACAGATGCTGGAGAGGATGTGGTGAAAAGAGAACACTTCTACACTGTTTGTGGGAGTGTAAACTAGTGCAGCCTCTGTGGAAATCAGTGTGGTGCTTTCTAAAAGCTCTAAAAACCAACCTTCCATATGGCCCTGCAATCTCCCTACTGGGAATATACCCTGAAGAACTCAAATTACTCTATAAAAAAGATACCTGAGCCGGACTCGGTGGCTCAGCCTGTAATCCCGCGCCTTTGGGAGGCTGAGGTGAGTG